CTCTTCTTTGAAACTAAAGCGTCCGGGAAAAATTATAGTTTTATGTTGTTGAGATGGAGCAAGTGGAGTTGATGGGAACAGTGCCGAGAGCAAAAAGCAAAAGAGGTGCTAATGGTCATAAATGCTTTCACTTAATGGACGCTTACAACCTCAGTTAGAAGTGCAATTAAAATCTTATTTGTCAGTTTATCTGCTTCATAGAGTCATACAGCATCGAAACAGACCCTTCTGTCCAACTCATCCACGTCGAACAGACATCCCAATTTGACCTAGTCCCATTTGCCAGCATTTGGCCCATATCCCTCTAAACCTTCCTATTCAAATACCCATTCAGATGCCTTTTAAATGATGTAATTGTACCAGCCTCCACCACTTCCTCTGGTAACTCGTTCCACACACTTATTCCTCTAAGTGAATAAGTTATTCTTCAGGTCCTTTTTAAATCTTTCCCCTCTCACCTTAAACCAATGTCCTCTAGTTTTGGACTCACCCACCCTAGGAAATAGACCTTGGCAATTCGCCTGATCCATGCCCCTCATGATTTTATAAACCATTGTAAGGTCACCCCTCAGCCTCCAACCCTCCGAGGAAAAATGCTTCAGCCTATTCAACATCTCCCTATAACTCAAACCCTCCAGTCCCGTTAACATTCTTCCTAATTCTACGCAGCATTCTAAAAGTGGCCTCACCAATGTCCTGTACTGCTGGAACATGACATCCCAACTCCTATACACAGTGCTCTGACCAATGAACACAAGCATGCCAAATTACTTCTTCTCCACTCTGTCTACCTGCAACTCCACTTTCAAGGAACTATGCACCTGCACCCCTACGTTTCTTTGTTTGGCAAACACAAGGCCCTACCTTTAACTGTATAAGTCCTGCCCTGGTTTGCTTTACCAAAATGCAATACCTCACATTTATCTAAATTAAACTCCATCTGCCACTCAGCCCATTGGCCCATCTGATCAAGGTACCGTTTTTCTTTGAGATAATCTTTTTCACTGTCCACGGCATCACCTATTTTGGTGTCATCTAGAAACTTACTAACCATACTTCCTAACTTCACATCCAAATCATTTATATACTGAACTCGAAACATTAACTCTGCTTTCTCTGCCTGAATGCTGCCAGACCTGCTGAGTTTCCCAGCAATTTCTGTTTTTGTACCATTGTGCTTATAAGGTATGGATAAATTTCCTGATAATGAGTTTCGTACTTTTACATTCACTGATCTGAGGAACAGGCCTGAAATTAACCAGCACCTACTTTTTCAGCTTTTTGAAAATGAGCCACTAGCCTGCTTCCAATCACATGATATGCCTCATAAAAGCTGTAATTTACTTGTTAGTTTTACTCCCTGGATTTACATTTGGCCATTCTCCATCTCAGCAATTCACTCCACTTTCTTCCTGAATAATATGCGGAGGTCACTATTCTTCTTTAATTCAATTCTTATTAAGCTGTGTTACACTAAAGCATACTAAATTTGCTGCTTTTAGGGAAAACATCCATGGTTTTTGTGAAACACACAGTTAAGAAGATGAAATGATCTGCTGATAGCTGCTGGTGGGATATGAAAAGGAGCCTGTCTGAGGTGTTTCCCCAGTCAGCAGTTCCATTTCATGCCTGGTTAACAGGTCCATTTAGCTTCAAGAGACTGATTTTTCACCAATAGCAGCTCTTTCTTTTGTCTCTCCCTTCAACTTACTTACAAAATAAAAATGCCTTTTTTAATTGGTTTTACCTACAAAGACAACACCTCTGACAATGTAGCACACGCTCAGTACTGCATTAGAGTGTCCGTCTAGATTTTGCAGTCAATTTTCATTCACAGTTTCTGATTCAGAGGTGAGAGCGTTACCACTGAGCCACAGCTGACAGTTACAGGTATAACAATGGAACTGACACTCACAGTTAATTGATATGCACAGTTATTTGTAATTTACTTGTTTTGCAGATTATGGAAGAACAGAAGGTGAAGAATCCTGATCATCTTGTGGCTGGGGGTTGGGTACTGGATAATTTCCCAGAGACAATGGATCAGTGTAGAGTAATGTTAGAGCTAGGTTTTGCTCCTGATAATATATTCCTGCTACATAATGCTGTGGATGATGGTAAGTAAACTAATTAACCAAATTTATTCTGCTTGGCAAAAAGAATAACATAAATATTAGCAGATCTCCTATAATGTATACCAAAAACGCATCGTTTCAGCAGGAGTGAAATGCACCTCCCCTAGTCCCAGCTATTCCCCTTTATATGTCTAGACATCAACTAGTTAATAGTAATTACCTGTTTTCTACTAACCTTAGTCAATCTTTGTAATCTCAGCACATTTCTATGAATTAGATGTGTTTGTCAGTCCCAGATCAGCTAGCAAAGGGATCACATTCCTTCCATCTCCCTACCACCATCACCAAGACAAAATCTATCACCCTGGATCACCTCTACACCATCAAAGGAATTGGAGTACATTTGAAGGGTATAGAAGAGCCTCAAAGCTAGAGTTAAATCACCTGCTGTGTTCATCCAGCCCTGCACCTTGTTGTCTCGGATTCACCAGCATCTGCAGTCCCTACTATCTCTAGAGTTAAATCATGTCAGGCCCGATAAATTGTATGGTTTTCTTGCTTGAGACACAGGAGAGGTAATATCTGCTGGGCTGTCCTCCTCTAAAAAGGGATTCACAGCCTTCTATTCTTCTTTTAAGGCCTACTACAAAACTTGCAGTTGTTACTTTGGTTTAGTCGGAGCATTGAGCAGAAGAGAAATTCTTTGAGTCGTGCCTATTTGCAGTACATAGCGAAGAGCCATTTACCTTCAGCAGGCTGCTGTACAAGCTTGAAATATATTTTTCAAGGACTACTTTTTGATTTTTGTGTGCTAACTTCTGGTTTTCAGGGCTCCCTTTTCAATCTCAATAACTGCTTCGTTAGGTTGTCCAGTCACTGAGTATGAATATTTTCTGTATTTATGTTGATATATGGCAGATTTGGACTCACATAGAAAGTATCCATATCATTAAAATCATCACTGCTCCATTAAACTTAGTGCCACAATACACAAGGGAAGCATCAATTTCGTAAATACTGCAGTATTTAAATTGGCACAGACAAAAGGAAATATTAGAAATGCATGCTTCTTTTAAACAAATAATTGACACATTTCTATGCAAAAAAACCCTTCTCCTTAAAAACATTTCCTCTGGACTTCTGTAGCATGTTTCTAACACAGCCATTGTGCTTCAAGTCATTTATAGTATGTGTATTTTGAGCCCTAATTTCTAAAATGGAGATGTTTGTAACCTGCTGGCCTATGCATACCTAAACTTTTAAAAGAGTTATTTGTATCAGTAAATTAATAGAGTAAGCTGCTAACTGTATCCGTAAGATGTCGAGAATTTCAATGAAGTGTTCAAAAGATACTCACTTTGCAAAGGCATCAGTCTGAGAAAGCAACAATATTTAATCAATACCAAAGTCCTCTTTATTCCTCAGGGAAGCATATTCAAAAAGACAGGAACTTAGAAATAGGTAGACAGGGTGGTTAAGAAAGCATTTTGCGTGCTTGCCTTCATTGCGCAGACCATTGAATATAGGAGATGGGACATCATATTAAGGTTGTATAGGACATTGGTGAGGCCACTTTTGGAGTACTGTGTATAGACCTGCTCGTCCTGCTATAGGAATGACATTATTAAATTGGAAAGGTTCAGAAAAGATAGACCAGGATATTGTTGGGATTGCAGGGTTTGAGCTATAGGGACTTTTTTTCACTGGAGCGTAGGAGGTTGAGAGGTGACCTTATGGAGGTTTATGAAATCATGATGGGCATAGATAAGGTGAATAGCAAAGGTCTTTTCCCTAAAGTAGGGGACTTCAAAACTAGGGGGCATATTTCAAGGTGAGAGGAGAAAGATTTAAAAGGGACCTGAGTGTCAACTTTTTCACACAGAGGATGGTACATATGTGGAATAATCTGCCAGAGGAAGTGGTACAGTTTTCGATATTTAAAAGACTTTTGGATAGGAACGTGAATAGGGAAGGTTTAGAGAGATATGGGTCAAACTGCAGGCAAGTGGGACTAGTTTAGTTTGGGAAACGTGGGGCATGGATGAGTTGGACCGAAGGGTCTGTGGTGTATGACTATAACTACAACTCCATTGTTAAAATGGGATCCTGTTATAGCTATCAAATCTGTAGGTCACAGTCCTTGTGATGGATTTTAACTCAGTCTGAACTCATCTATTTGTAAAGAGTTAAAGTTGGCTCCTTGAGTGTCAGTATTATTGATTGCAGTTGATCACCTCCCTTAAGAAATTACCTTGTAGGCATCTATGATGGTGCATCCTATTGGAAGAGAATAATTAATGAACCAAGTACCTAAAGCCCAGAGCAGCAATTTTAAATGACTGCGATAGTTTAGAACACATTTGCACAAAATAAACTACAAAGGCATTGATTCTGCAACAAATAAATCAACGCTATTCAGTGCAGCCAGTCTATAAACACCAAAGGATAGAAATTGTGTCATCCTGGTTTCCAGGCATAGGGATCAGAATTTGTCATCTGCCTGCATGCAGTCAAAGGTGCACAGCACATAAGTTTGGTGTACACTCCTCGTACATATGGTTCCAGCATCTGGCTGGGCAAATCCTGGGTTAGTATCTTCTTGTCAGTGCGGTTGTCTCTGATTCAGTCGATGAACCTGTTACCATCTTCATAGAGACTTTAACTCTTAAAAAAAGATTCAAACTTCCAGGTGCTGTCTAGACATTTTCTTATCACCCTGTTCAAAGATGCTTATACACACGTCTGGAGCAGATTGGACTTGAACCTGGGCCTCCTGGCTCAGAGGTAGGAACACTACCACTGCATCACAAGAGTCATCATTTCACTTGATATCTGAAAGAATAACATGATACGATTTCACATTTTAAAAATTTTACTGTAATAAATGAGTAAAAACACTTAATTATCACACATCAGATTCTTCACAGAATTGCTATCTTTCTTGCAAACAGCCCACATTTGCTTCCAGCTTTCAGTAGCTTCCCATATCTCTGCTTTGCCAAACAGTAACTTCGAGTGACTGTGTCCGGCTGCTTTCCTCAGTTTTCAGAAGAGTTCCTTATATCTGTCATCAACAGTAAGGCCTTTTCTTGTTAATGTTCTTCCCCTAACCATGCCATTCTACTGGAATCCTGAGATGGCTACAAACTGTGTTTCTTCAGCTAGAGACTGCCTTCCTACCACATCCAATTGTGTTAGCTCAAAAAGCCAAGCAATATCTTCTTCCAGCTGATCATACAGCTAATTCTTTCAATTTTTAAGATTCAGCAATTCGCGAGAAAGCCAGTAACATTATCTCAAACATGGCTCCCTCTGGCCTCTTTCCTATGGCTATGTGAGATGCATTAACCTTGCATCCAGGTAGAAATACTAATTAACAATAGTTAACCTCAACTTCCCTTTTCACCTCAAAAGTAAACAGACAATTTAGAGTCCAACCGTTTACACTGAGATTCAATATAAACTCAGAGGTTGCTCCCATTGTCTTCAAGCATAAAATACCTTGCATCTTTTAGTGAAGTAATCTATGCCTTCCTTTGATCTCTAAAAATCAAGGTACCCCGGTTTATTGTTATGTAGACTGTAGGACAGGTCACATGAACCTTTCATTTACCCTCAATTTAAAGCTACATTTCCAAAATAAAGGTAAGGGTAAAGTAACCATAGGGCTACTTTGTCTAATGAGACTGATGGTGGTTTAACCTGACAGTCAGCACATCTCAAGCGAGGGGAGAAGAACAGTCCTTCATGGTAACTTGGAGACAGTAAAGATTGCAGATGCTGGAAGCTAGAGTCAATAAATGTGGAGTTAGAAAAGCACAACAGGTCAGACAGTATCCGAGGAGCAGGGAAGTCAATGTTTTGGGCTGAAACCCTTCACCAGGACTAGGGAGGGAGTGAGGAGCCCAGAAATAAATAGAGGAAGGGGGATGGGTCTAGAGGGAGGGTAGGTGGAAAAGAGATAGGTGGATGCAGGTAGGGGGTTATTGTAGTTGGTCAGTGGGAAGGGTGGAGCGGATAGGCGAGTGAAGAGATGGACAGGTTGGGTAGGGAAATTTTGAAGCTGATAAAGTCAATATTCAGACCAATAGGCTTAAGCTCCCATGGTGAAATATTGGGTGTTGTTCCCCCAGTTTACATTTGGCCTCACTCTGACAGTGGAGGAGACCAAGGATGGACATGTCACCAGGGGATTGGGAGGGGGAGTTGGATGGCAACTGGAAGGTTGGGTTGGTTGGTGCGTGCAGAATCTGCATTTGCTCTACTCTATATCGAGGAGACCACATCGGGAGCAATGTTCCCACTGACCAACCGCAATAATTCCCAACCGGCATCCACCTTTCTCCATCCCACCTACCCCAACTCCATCCCTCTCCCTGTATTTATTTATGAGCTCCCCTCTGCCTCCCCAGTCCTGACAAAGGGTTTCGGCCTGAAATATTGACTTCCCTGCTATTCAGATGCTGTCTGACCTGCTGTGCTTTTCCAGCCTCACATTTATTGACTCCTTCATGGTAACATCAGCCAATGCAGAAATTGAACCCATGCTATTCACATCACTCTGCATTTCAAACCAGCCATCTAACTAACAGAGCTAATTGATCTCTAGTCCCAAAATATAATAATCTTCTAAACCTCATACTTATAACAAGTCCACTGACATTTTTCTAGAGCTATTTTGTACAGCGAGCCTTCTCTAAAAGGCAGTCAGTCTTTCCGAAAGAAAAGTTGTACTGAAATATTTTGCAGCAATTTAAACAATGACAAATTGTGACCAGGGCAGAGGGAGAGTAACAGATGCAGTGTTCATCAAATCGTACATTACAAAAGAGGCCTTTTGGCCCATCCAGTCTGTACCATCAAAAATACATGACTAACTAGCAAGTCCCAATTTCCTCCACTAGACCCATATCCTTGAATGTTATGACACTTCAAGTATCCATCCAAGTAGCTATTAAAGGTAGTTTTTAAACTATCCTCACAGGCAGTCCATTCCAGACACTCATCATCCTCTGGGTGAAAAAGTTTTTCCTCAAATGCTCTCTTAACCTCCTGCCTTGCACCTTAAAATTATGACCCTTCACTATGACCCTTCAACCAGGGGTAGCGACTGTTTTCTCTCACACCTCTATCAGAATCCCCTTCAATCTTTTTGCTCCAAAGAAAATAGCTCGAGATTATCCAGCCTCTCTTCATAGCTGAAATGCTCCATTCCAGGCAACATCCTAGTGAATCTCCTCTCCAATGCCTCCAGTGCAATCACATCCTTACCAAAGTGAGGCGACCAGAACTGCACACAGTACCCAAGCTGTAGAGTCGTAGAATCATAGAGATATACAACATGGAAACAGAACCTTCAGTCCAACTCGTCCATACCAATCAGATATCCTAAATTAATCTAGTTCCATTTACCAGCATTTGGCCCATATATATCTAAATCCTTCCCATTCACATACCCATCCAGATGCCTTTTAAATGTTGTAATTGTATCTGCTTCCACCACCACCTCTGGCAGCTCATTCTATACACACATCACCCTCTGCGTGAAAAATTTGCCCCTTAGATCCCTTTTAAATCTTTCCCCTCTCACCTTAAACCTATGCCCTCTAGTTTTGGACTCTGCTACCCTGGGGAAAAGACCTTGGCTATTCACCCTATCAATGCCCCTCATGATTTTATAAATTTCTATTAGGTCACCCCTCAGCCTCCAACACTCCAGGGAAAATAGCCCCAGCCTATTCGACCTCTCCCTATAGCTCAAGCCTTCCCAAGCCTAACCAAAATTCTGTACAGCTCCAATATAACCTCCCTGCTCCTGTAATCTGTGTCTCAACTGAAGGCAAGTGTTCTGTATGCCAACTCAACCTGTCCTGCCATTTTTAGGGATCTGTGGACAAGCACCCCAAGAACCCTCTGAGCTTCCTAGTATCTTGCCATTCATTGAATACTCCCTTGTTGCTTCTTCCAATGTGCATCGCCTCTCATTTATGAGGGTTAAATTCGATCTGCCACTGATTTTCCCATCTGATCATTCAGTTTATATCCTCCTCTAATCTAACACCTTCCTCTCTGTGATCCAACACCTGGCTAATCTTTGTGTCATCTTCAAACTTACTTATCATTCCTCCACATCCTCATCCACATCATTTATGAATATCACAAACAATAAGGGACCCAGCATTAATCCCTGTGGTACACCACTGCACGCTGGACTCCAGTCACACAAACAGTCTTCTACGACCACCCTCTGTCTCCTGTTACTAAAACAATTTTGGATACATCTTGCTATGTTATGCTGGATCCCATGAACTTTTATCTTCTTCATCAGTTTCCTATGTAGGGGACCTTGTCTAAGGCCTTACTGAAATTCAAATAAATTACTTCAACTGGCCTACCCTCACCCAAATACTTGATCTCTCCCTCAAAAAAGTTCCAGTAGATTTGTTAGACTTGACTTGCTTCTGACAAAGCCATGCTGTCTATGCCTGATCAACCCTAGCCTCTGTAAATGGAGATTAATTTTTCCTTCACTATTTTCTCCAATAGTTCCCTTACCAGTGGTTTATAATTCCCTGGTCTATCTCTACCACCCTTCTCATAAGGTGATACTGTATTAGCTGTCCTCCAGTCCTCTGGCATCTCCCTTGTGGCCAGAGATGATTTGAAAATTTGGGCCCTGTAACTCTTTCCCTATCTCCCACAGCAACCTGGGATACAACTCATCTAGATTGAGGATTGTCTAGATGATTCCTTTGTTGGAGGACAGCCATAATCCTTGGAAGTAAGGGACAGAAGATCCCAAGGACTTGCCTCAAAAATAAATGGGGACAAGTAGCCAGAAAGATTAACTCCTGGACTCTGGACCCGAGGATCTGGCATCAGTTCCACAAAGTATCTATGACCTCACATAGTAGTCAGACTCACAGATGGACATTCACGTAACATTTAGTACACTGTACACAACCAACCTCTCATGCTGCTCAATGTACCATATATGTTAGTCAGCCAGTAGCAACTATTAAGGACTCACATCTATTATGCAGATCCTCCACCTCATTCTCACACATACTACTAGCCTCAGACCTACCTATCAATAGAGACCACACATCCCCAACTATACAGTCACAGTGCAATACCATCACTGACATTCTGAACTCTCTCTTGCAAGACAAGATGGCACACAACAGTAGGGAGAAAGGGAAAGCTAGCAGAGGACACTGGAATTTAGCCAGGATAAAATTAAGCCAAAGATTGACTGCAAAAACAGTAACAAAATAGTGGATGATTTTAAAGGAAAATGTTCAGTTACAGCTAGATATATTCTAACAAAGGTGAAAGGTGACAGGTAATGGGAACAAAGCTAGAACTTCTCAGCTGATGTCAGAAACTGACAGATATGCTGTAGAACTGGTCCCTTCTGTAGCTTTTGCTCCATCTCCCTAACCTGCTGCAGGCTCAAAGGCACTGGTATTGCTGCCCCCCTCTATTTGTTGTAACATATTCCCCTGTTCCTTCTGACAGGATGCAGCAACACTGACTCGAAAATACAGAAACTCACCAATAAGTTAGGTATCTGGCACTTTAAATTTTGCTCAAATAAAAGCAAAATACTGCAGATGCTGGAAATCTGAAACTAACAGAGAATGCAGCAGGTCTGACAGCATCTATATAGAGAGCAACAGAGTTAATGTTTCAAATCCAGTATGACTTCTTCAGAACTAAAAAAGAATCACACTAGACTAAATTTATTTATTATTTTGATGTTTTCCCTTTTTTATTGATTTATCAGAGATACCATTTGCTTAAATCTGAGGAAAATTTTAAAAATTTGCACAGGATAGCAATGTATTAGCATGGATTCAAGATTAGTTAACACACAAAAGATAGAGCTAGGATTAATGAGTCTTTTTAAGGTTGGAAAAACATCACTAGTGGAGTGCCATAAGGATAGGTCATGTTGCCTCAGTTATTTACGATCTATATGTTGACTTGCAGGAGGGCAAGTTTAATGTATCCAAATTTACTGATGAATCAAAAACAAGTGAGACGGCATGCTGTGATGAGGCCAAAAGGAATATAGTTAGGTTGAGTGAGTGCAAAAAAAGCCTGGCAGATAGTGTTTAATTTAGAAAGTGTGAGGTTGTACAGTTCGGTGGGAAGAATCAAAAAGAAGGCTATTACTTAAAAGGAGACAGACTCCAAAATAACAGGTGCAGTGCACCGGAAGACTGGGTGTTCTTGTGCATAAACACAAACAGTTGGCATACACCGTGCAGCAAGTATAAGAAAGCAAGTGGAATTTTGGCCTTTATTGCTGAGAGTTTGCACTTTAAAAACAGAGAAGTCTTTTAAAACTACGGAGGATGTTGGTGAGGCCATACTTTGAGTACTGTGTACGGTTTTGATCCTTGTATTTATAAAAGGATACACTGGCTTTGGAGGCTGTTTGAAGCTATTTACTAGGCTGTTTCATTGAATGGAGGGGTTACCATGTCAAAAATGGTTAAACAGATGAGGCCTTTATTCATTTGAATTTTGAAAACTGGGGGTAGGAGGTAGGAAACGTACAAGGTACTGAAAGAGCTTGACAAAGTATTGCTGAGAAAATAATTCCATTAATGGGCTAATCTTGAACGAGGAGACAGTAACAGAATAAGGGAACACTCATTTAAAACTGAGATAGAATCATAGAATCATATGTGAAGTTTAGAATTCTCTACCTCAGAGAGTTGTGGAGGTTAAACTACTGTAAGTACTTGAAGAGGCGGTAGATAGAATTTTGAATTGTCAGGGAGCTGATAGCTATGCTAAGCTGGCACAAAAGAGTAGCTGAGGTCTGGGGCAGAGCAGCCTTGATTTTGGCAGGGCAGGCTTGAAAGCCAAGTGGCACACTCCTGCTCCTATTTCTTACATTCTCATGTTTCACTCTTCTGCTTCTTTGATGATATCACAATGTAGCATGATAGTTTAATGATTAGTAAAGTGTCTTAAATAAAATTCTGATCTTGTACATACATTTTAATCCCATCAGGAAAATTCTTGCTGAATAGATTGTATAATTTAAATAAAGATCTGATTGAAATCAAGATGATCCATAGACTTAAAGAGGCAGAAAAAAATAAACGTGACAAGTAAGTAGCTCAGTTTATAGTTATGATTATTCTTATCGCTGCTTTTCTCTTGTGTAATTTGACTTGTTTGTGCCTTTTTGTTTTTCTTTGTGTTTATTTTTCTGTTTCCTCCACCTGAGGTAGAAGGGTTAGTTTGAATATAAATAGCAAGGAAGATAGGCATGTCCTCCCAAATCTGCTATCAGCCTTATATATCTTTTTTGAACCTTCTCCACTGCCTATCTCTCCTTTACATAATATGAAGACCAAAACTGCTCACAGAACTATTAAGTGTAGTATATATAAATTTATAATAAATTTATAATAAAATAACTCGTCAATTTACATTTCTATACCTTGGGAAATAAACTCCAGACCATTTTTACCTTTTCTTCAAAATGAATGTAACCTTTGATCCACGTTTTCTAGTAAAATGCCAGTTCAATTTTGTCAATTTCAATCAGATCTTTTGCTCCAGGCATAGATTTCATCTTTAGTAAATATTGTCAATATTTAGACATGAAAAAAATACTGCAAGAAACTAAGTACATTTGTGATTAATTCCTCCAAATTTTGTCTTTTAACAGTAGGTTTCTGCTGGATTATTTATTAAAATTGTTATATCTTTCCTAATTCACCATTGTTAACATATGACACAGAAAATCTAGGTTGACTTCATGGAAAATCAGAGGCTACTTTTGATTTGAGAAATAGTTGACTTAACTTATCACCTACCATGATCTCAGGATGTCCCAAGCACTTGAAAGCCAATTAATGAGTTTTGAACTGTAGTCACTTTTATTTTCTTTGTTCATGAACTATGTGTGGGTGTCACTGGCTAGGCCAGCATTATTTCCCAGTGCTATAGCCCTGGAGAAGATGGTGCTGAACTGATTTTTTGAACCACCACAATCCTTGGAGTTTAGGGACACCCACAATGCTGTTAGGAATGGAGTTTCAGGATTTTGACCCATCAACAGTAAAGGGTACAGTTCCAAGTCAGACTTGTCAGTGACTTAGAGAAAATTGTGGGTTGTGGTGTTCCCTTTTATTTGTTGCTGTTGTCATTCTATGTGGTAATTTTAAGGTAGAGAAAGGCAACAATGCAGCAAGGTCCAAAAAAGCAGTAATTAAGTAAATGACCAGGTAATCTGCTCAAGTGAAGTTGGTGAAAATAAATTAGTCAGGATATAAAAGGATTCTTTGCTCTTATTTTAACAATGTTCATATGCTGTCCTATGTATACCCAAGAAAGCGGTTGGAATCTTATTTGAAAGATAACACCCCTAATAATGCAGAGCTCCTTCAGTATCAAGTTGGAGCACCAAACTAGATTATATGTTCAAGTCTTTGTTTTAGGGTTTGAACCACAAGCTTCTTTGACCTGGACAAGATGCTGCTGCTACAGAGCCAAGACTGGTATTTGAGAGGGCTAAATCTTTTAACTGGGTATCATATCAGCTAGCTGGGCTAAGTAAATCCAAGATGGGCTGCATTTAGTTGCTTCTGATAATCATTGGGGATTCCTGCCTCAAGCACTCTTTTCAAGGTCGTGGACAGAGCTTGACAAAAGAGTCTGGGGGTACAGGATGCACCCCTAAGAGTATAACTGGGAAGTAACACCACAATCTGAATTTCAGGCTCAAAGTATTTTGGTGTTACTATGTCACTACACAATATCACCATTGTAATTTTCCTCCCATGTGCCAAGATCTCTCTTAATCTGATTTATGAGTTCTTTCCCTATTGTTAATTGTTAAATGTTTCTTGTTCATTTTCTTTTGCTTTTCTTTAAAGGGATGGTATTTTGAGTACATCATTTTTCATTTTCATTTTCACTTAAAGACTCAGAGAATATTTTGGCGCAAAAAAAGTTGTGGCTCATCATGCATGCACCAAAATAATTATCCATTTAGCACCGTTCTCCAGGCCTTCAAAAGAACTATTTTTTGAATATTTGTCTATTTCCATTTCAAAACTGTTCTGGATCCTGCTTATTTCACTGATCCTGTTCCATTTTTGCAATATGTGTTGTTTAGCTGGTTCACCAAACAATGAATTTACTTCATCAAAACACTTCATAGTTATAAGATCCTACTGTAAACATTTTGTAATGAAAATAGCTTGGGTTTCTTTGGTCTCTCTTCATAATTAAACATTCTCATTCAGGGTACATTTTTCTGCAGCTTTACCTACTTCTCTGATTTTGAAAATGTGTGTTTCTGTTCCTGTAGTTCTTTTAAAGTCTTTTTCATTTCACATATGTTTTCTGTTATAGATTATTATCTATGTATAACTGATTTTTCTTGTTTCTAAGACCCATATACTTAAATCTTCTTTGGCTTGGTGAGTTTCTTCTTAGGTTTTTCTCAGCTCTAATACAAATTAATTTCTGGTAGTCTACATGAAGCTCTCAGAATAATAAAAGTAAACCAGAAAGATACCATTCTGGCCAGGGACACTTTCTCTGGTGAAATTATCATTGAACTTTAGCAAGGAGCGAAAAGCCTTTAATTATTGTAAACCTAAATTGCATCACTCCCTATTATTTATTATTATATTTGCAATTGTAAATTGTTGGATAGTTTATATTTTAAACCATGGTCCAGTAAGCTTTCACAATTTATGTAAATAATCTTGGGAAAGCCATGTAGCAGAACTAAAAAGACAAAAAGCAGGAACTTCTTAAAAGAAGAGAAGCATAAGCAATGCAAAATGCTTTTGGCAGAGATTTCCAGAGAATGGAACATACTATCTAAATGATCAGCGTCTGATGATAAAACAGAAGGAGCAGATATATGCAATAATTCAACATCATCATACAGTTACATAAATCGAACATCCTAAGATGCTCAATAAGAGTACTGACAATTGGAATTTGACATAGCCACAGACTGAGATGTCAGGTCAACCTAAAATTTTGTGAAGGAGGTCATTCCAAAAATCAGTGAAAGGTAATTTTGTGTGGAACGTTAAAGTGGAGTGTCATAGAGGTTTTGGGTGGAAATTCCAGTAATTAGGGCCTTGGCAGCTGAGAGCATTATCATGAATGATGGATGCCCCAGAATTGGAGGAGTTCAGAGAACTTGAAGGTTTATAAAGCTTTTAGAATTCCCAGAAAAAAGGATGGGTGAGGCCATGTAGAGATTTGAAAACAAGAATAAGATTTTATCATTCAAACTCATAATATGACACAAAAGTATGAATGTTAATAACATTGTTAAACCTCTTGAGAATCGTACAGAAGTCTAACAGATATTTAGTATGATGAACTTCTTCTATAGAGAAGCCACATTAGCACCTGGAGCAGAGAATCCACAAGCAGAGACCCTGGAGATGAAAGGGGAAAGTGAAGGTATGTTACTTCAATGAAACAAATTTCATAATAGTTATAAATCCATACTCATTTTTAACTTGTGCATTTGTTGTGTTATCTAAAAGCCTCAATATTGATCCACAGTTAGTGCTCTTACTTAACTTTTTTTGGTTCAAAGTAAAAACAAAAGAAATGGGAGCAATAACCCACATGCTGTGCAGCCTGTTTTGCCAATTGGTGCAATGATGACCGATAAATCGGCCTTCACTCCAATTTGCCACCTACTCTTCAAATCCTGCAATTTAGAAAACATTGTCCAACTCGTCCTTAAATCTATTCATATTGGAACATTCACAACCTTATGAGTAGAGTATTATAAAAATTTGCAACCATTTTAGAAATTTTTGCTCATTTTAATCCTAAATGATTTGATTTTATTATTCATTTATAGAATGTGGGTGTCATTAGCTGAACTAGCATTAATTGCTCAACCCTGGCTGCCCTTGAGAAGTGGTAGTGAGCTGTCTTCTTGAACCACAGCAGTCCATTTTGCATAGATACATCCACAATGTTGTTAAGGAATGAGTTCCAGAATTTAGATTCAGTATTACTGAAGGAATGGTGGTAAATTTCCAAGTCAAGATGGTGAGTAGTTTGGAGGGAAACCTTCAGGTGGTGAAATTGCCATGTGTCTGCTGCTCTTGCTATACTTGGTGGTAGTGAGTTTGGAGTGTGTTATCTAAGGACACTTGGTGAATTGTTACAGTGCATCTTGTAGATACATCTTGCAGCTACTGAGTGTCAGTGGTGCAAGAAGTGATGTTGTGGATATGGTGCCAGTAAAGCAAGTTGCTTTGTCGAGGAGTATGTCAAGCTCCCTGAATGAGCTGTACTAATCTAGGCAAGTGGAGATTATTCCATCACACTCCTGACTTGTGCCTTGTAGGTGGTGGGCAGGGTCAAGGAGTCAGGAAGTGCATGACGTGCATTCAGATTCCTTGCCTCTGACCTGCTTTTGTAACCACAGTATTGGTACGGCTAGTCCATTTCAGTTTCTGGTCAATGTAACCCCCAAGATTTTATAGTGGTGTTTCAATGATGGTAATGCAATTGAATATTAAGGGCAATCTTTTGTTAGATTCTGTATTGTTGGAGATGGTTATTGTCTGGCCCTCCTGTGGCACAAATGTTACTTGCCACTCATCACCTCAAACTTGGATGTTGACCAGGTCATAGAGTCATAGAGTCCTACAGCACAGAGACGGGCCCTTTCACCCAAACTGGTCTATGCCGACCAAAATGCCATCCAGGCTAACCCCATTTCCCTACACTTGGCCCATATCCTTCTAAACTTTTCCTATCCATGTATTCATCCAAATGCATTTTAAATGCTGCTGGCAGCTCATTCCATACACGTACCACCCTCTGTGTAAAAAAAGTTACCCCTCAGGTTCCCATGTATTCTTCCCCTTCTTACCTTAAACTGATTCCCTTTAGTCATTGATTCCCCGACTCTGGGAAAAAGACTGGTGCATTTATCCTATCCATGCCTCTCATGATCTTATACACTCCTATAAGAAACCCCTCAGTCTCCTACGCTCCAAAGAAAAAGTCCTCGCTTGTCCAACTACTTCATATAGCACAGTCCCTTGAGTCCTGGCAACATCCTTGTAAATTTCTTCTGCACTCTTTCCAGTTTAATAATAACCTTTGTATAGCAAGGTGACCAAAAATGAACACAGTACTCCAAGTGCGCCCTCATCAATGCCCTATACAACTGCAACATAACTTCCCAACTTCTATACTCAATGATTTGGAGATAACAAGAACTGCAGATGCTGATGTCAGAGTCAATACAGGATGGAGCTGGATGAACACAGCAGGTCAGGCAGCATCAGAGGAGCAGGAAAATCGACATTTCAGGTTTACACCCTTTATCAGGACTGGAAACGAGGAAGGGAGCTCGGAAATAAATGGTGGGGTGGGCTGGGGAAAGCTAGTTGAGATGGCGATACGTGGATGCAGGTTGGGGATAGTCGAGATTGGTCAGTGGGAAAGGGTGTATGGATAGGTGGGAAAGAAGATGGACAGGTTGTGTCAGGTCAATGAGATGGGGATGAGAGGGAGGGTTGGACAGGGGATGAGGCCATGGGTGGGGAGATTTTGAAACTGGTGAATTCTATTTTGAGGCCATTGGGCTGTAAGCTCCCGAGGCAGAATATGAGGTGTTGTTTCTCCAATTTGCATGTGGTGTCATTGTGACACTGTTGGAAGCCCAGGATGGACATGTCACCAAGGGAGTGAGAAGGGGAGTTAAAATGGTTGGCAACCAGAAGGTGTTGTTGATTCTCGTGTACAGAGCACAGATGCTCTGCAAATCTGTCACCGAGTCTGTGCTTGGTCTCACCAATGTAGAGGAGACCACATAAGGAGCAATGGATACAGGAGGCCAGGTTGGAAGATGTACAAGTGAATCCCTGTTGGATTTGGAAAGTTTGTCTAGGGCCTTGAAAGGAGGTGAGAGGGAAGGTATAGTACCTCCTGTGGTTGCAGAGAAAGGTGCCAGGTGTGGTGGGGTTAGTGGGGAGTTTGGAGCAGACAAGGGAGTCGCAAAGTGAGCAGTCCCTATGAAACGCAGATAAGGTTGGGAAGGGAAATATCTCTTAGGTGGTGGGGTCGGATTGCAGGTGGCAGAAGTGTTACAGAATGATACACTGGATGTGGAGATTGGTGGGGTGGTATGTGAGGACTAGGGGAACACTATCCTTATTTTTGTTGGCAGGAGGGCGTTTGAGGGCCGAAGTGTGAGAAATGCAAGTGAAGTGGTTGAGGGCGTTATGAATCACTGGAAAGGGGAGGTTGTGGTCCTTGAAGTAGGACATCTGGGATGTCTGGTAGTGGAACAGTCCATCTTGGGAGTAGATGTGGCAGAGACGGAGGAATTGGGAGTAAAGGATTGCATTCTTGCGGGAGGGTGGGTGAGAGGAGGTATAGTCCAGGTAGCTATGGGAGTCGGTGGGTTTAAAATAGATGTCGGTGCTGAGACGGTTACCAGAGATGGAGACAGAGCTCCAGGAAGGGGAGGGAGGTGTCGGTGATGGTCCAAGTGAATTTGAGGTTGGTATGAAAGGTGTTAGTAAAGTTGATGACCTGTTCAGGCTCCTCATGGGAGCACGAGGCAGTGCCGATACAGTCATCAACATAGTGGAGGAAGATGTGGGGATTGGTGCCAGTGTAACAGCAGAAGGGGACAGTTCCACGTATGCTATGAAGAGGCAAGCATAGCTTGGACCCATGCGGGTGCCCATAGCCACCCCTTTAGTTTGTAGGAACCTCATCACCCTAGGAGACGACCCATCCACAGCCTCCAACCTCATTGTTCCCCAACCCCACACCGCCTTTTTGTATCTCCTTCCCAAAATTCATAAACCTGACAGCCCCAGCCAACCCATTGTCTCTGTCTGCTCCTGGCCCACTGAACTCATCTCCACTTACCTTGACTCTGCTTTGCATCCCCACCCCCCGGGCCAGGAATACCCCACCTACCCACACCCTCCACCTCCCCCAAGATTTTCAATTCCCCAGACACCAACACCTCATCTCCACCATGGACATGCAGTCCCTGTACAGTATCCCCCATGCAGATTGCCTAAAAGCCCTCCACTTCTTCCTCTCCCGCAGGCCCAACTAGTACCCTTCCATCAACACCCTCACCTGCTTAACGGAATTTGTCCTTATCCTCAACAACTTTTCCTTTGTCTCCTCCCACTTCCCACAGACTAAGGGTGTGGCCATGGGCACCCATATGGGTCCGAGTTATGCCTGCCTCTTAGTAGGATACGTGGAACACAGAAACACACGCTTTGGTCCAACTTATCCACACCAACCAGAATTCCCAATCCGATCTGCCATTTGCCTCTAAACCCTTCCTATTCATATACCTATCCAGATGCCTTTTAAATGTTGTAATTGTACCAGCCTCCACTGCTTCCTCTGAGATAGTAAGAACTGCCGATGCTGGAGTTTAAGATACTATTTTCTCTGGCAGTTTGTTCCATATTTGCACCACCCTCTGCATGAAAATGTTGCCCATCAGATCCTTTTTAAATCTTTCCCCACTCATCTTAAATCTATGTCTCCAAATTTTGGACACCCTCACCCAAGGAAAAAGAACTTGGCTATTCGCCCTATCCATGCTCCTCATGATTTTATAAATCTCTATATGGTCATCCCTCAGCCTCCTATACTCCAGGGAAAAGAAGCCTCAGCCTATTCAGCCTCTCCCAATAGCTCAAACCCTCCAGTCCTAGCAACATCCTTGTAAATCTTTTCTGTACCCTCCCAAGTTTAATGACATCCTTCCTATATAAGAGGGCTCAATGTGTTTGCAGTATTCTTGCTAACTAACAAGTGCATTACATATTTTTAGTCATAGTTTTTATACTCCACTCATTTTGAAATAAAAGCCAACTTTCAATTTGCCTTCCCTGTTACCTACTAAACTAGTATGCTAACTTTTTTGTGATTTTTCCATGAGAATCCCCAAAACATGCTGTGCTGCAGTTGTCCTCAATTTAACTAATATTCAGCTCCTCCATGCTTACAGCCATTATGCACAACCTCACATTTCCCCACATTACATTCCATTTACCTGGTTTTTGCCAATTCACTTAACCTGTCTTTATCTCTCTATGGAATCTTTGTGTCATCCTCATAACTCAGCTTCCTACCCACTTTTGCATCATTGCAAACTTTGTAAGAGTGCATTTACTTCCCTCATCCAAGTCATTAACCTATAACTTGAGTAATTGTGACCCCAGCACCATCCATGTGGCACAGCACCAGTCACAGGTTGCAGTCCTGAAAATTCTCTCTGTCTTCAGTTGGTTAGACAATCATCTGCCCATGCTGGTATATTACCCACAGCACCTTTTATTTCAATTAGCCTTATGTGCAGTGCTTGAACAAATGAAAATGAACAAATGAAAAGGTACAGCACAGGAACGGGCCCTTCAGCCCTCCAAGCCTGTGCCAACCATCATGCCCTAATTAATCTAAAAACAAACCTGCCATTTTCGATCCGTATCTCTCTATTCCCTCCCTATTCATGTACCCGTCTGGGTGCCTCTTGAATGCCTTCAATGTGCCCACTTCCACCACCTTTTCTGGTAGTGCAGTCCAGGCTGCTACCATCCTCTGCATGAAAAACTTCCCTCACATATCTCCCTTAAACTTTTCCCCTTGACCTTGAACCCGTGCCCCGTTGTAATTGAGACTTCAACCCTGGGAAAAAGCCCCTGACTATTCACCCTATCTATGCTTCTCATAATTTTGTAGACCTCTATCAGGTCTACTGTCAGCTGCCATCTTTCCAGTGAAAACAATCCTCGTCTTTTTAACCTTTCCTCATAGTCAATGCCCTGGAGACCAGGCAACATCCTGGTGACAAAAACAAAGTTGCTGGAAAAGCTCAACAACCTGGTAAACCTTCTCTGTACTATCTCCAAAGCTTTCATATCCTTCTGGTAGTGTGGTGACCAAAACTGCACACAATATTCGAAATACAGTCTAACAAGGGTTTTATATAGCTGCAAAATGTTTTGCCAACTCTTGTACTCCACGCCCGGGCGATTAAGGCAAGCGTGCCAAATGCCTTGTTAATCACCTGGGCTCCTTGGGGTTGCCACTTTCAGGGAACTGTGGATCTGCACGCCCAGATCCGTCTGACTGTTAGTGTTCCTAAGGATTCTGCCATTTCCAAAATAATTCACATCTGAATTTGATCCTCCAAAATGCATCACCTTGCATTTGTCTGGAACAAGGCCTTATTGAACAACTTTTGGAAATCCAAATGTATTACACATGGTCAGTCACTCCCTTCTCACCTCTAGAATTAAGATACTTGATCCATGTTTGCACCAAAGCTATAATAGATCTGCAGCTGTGTGGCCCTGACAGAATGCAAATTTCCACCTTAAAGCACTGTCAAGACACATTTACTGATAGTCAACAGTGAACAAGTAGAGCAAGAATTGCCTGATTTTTCCTTCTTTTTGTGGACAGACATGCACTGGGCATTTTTTCACATTGTGTGTTAGCTGTGCTGGGACAGCTTGACAATGCAAATACTGGAGTATGAATCTTCAGCACTACATCTGGATGTTGCCACAGTCCAGAGTCTTTGCTGTATCCAGTGTCTTCAGTTGTCTCTTGATCGCATGCAGCATGAATTGAATTGCTTGAAGATTAGTTCTGAAAGGTGCTATTTAAATGCATGTCTTTCTTTTACACACTCAATGGCAATCTGCTAATAGTTAAAAATAAAGAAGAAACTAGCAAGGAATGTAGAGGCAAGTCTTAAGGCAGGAAAAAGTATATATAATTAATTTGTGACTGGTTTAAATAAAGTAGATAAAGATAACCTTTTCCTATTAGCTGACAGCTCAAGGGACAAAGATTTAAAGGTTTGGGCAAGGGATGCAGAGTCATTGTGAGGAATTCATTTTTCCATAACATGCTGTGTGACCTGGAACTTGTCACCTCCAAGAGTATTGGAAGCAGAGATGAGTAACGATTTCATCAGGTAATTGGATGGACATTTGAGGGAAATATACTTGCAAGGGATGGGAGTGCAGTACGGCAGAGTTTGAGGCCTATTTTGAGGCTTGAAAATTGCCCTTTCCTTGTATTCAGAGGCAGGGAGAGTGATAGGGATAAGGAAGATGAGCGTGGTGAGATGAGGGGTTGAAAAGAAATAGGATCAGTGGTGTAGAAGCAAGTGGATATGTGAGAGCATGGAACAAGTGAAGAGGGAGTGTAGGAGAACAGACCACCAGACCACAATGTTTTTTTCAACTACAGTTTGTGTTGGAGGCTGTTATGTGATCTGGCCTCAAAACTGACTTCATTAGGTAAGGCTTCTTGATCAAGACCAGAAATACAGTGTGCATGAGCATGTCACGGAGATATGGAGCCAAACTCAGGACTGTCATAGGAACATAGGCCTATAGGAATAGGAGTGGACCATTCAGCCCTTCAAGCTCATTCAGCCATTCAGTGAGATCAAGGCTGATCTGTGGCCTAACTCCATATGTTTGGAGTTGGCCCATATTCCTTAATGCTTTTGCTCAACAAAAGTTATCTATCTCAGATTTAAAATTAACAATTGATCTAGCATCAACTGCCATTTGTGGAAGAGAGTTCCAAACCTCTATCACGTTTTACATGTAGAAGTGCTTCCTACCAACTCTCCTGAATGATCTGACGCTATTCTCAGACTATGCACCCCTAGTTCAAGAATATCCAACCAACGGAAACAGTTTATCTTTATCTACCCTATGTTTACCTGTCCTACGGAATCCGTTTAGGAACACCTGCTTTACAGGGACACAATGAGCCAAATGGGCCCCTGTGTATCATAATGGCTTGCTGACTTTTTGGAATTTTTATAAAAACAATCTGCATGGTAAATGTATTAATAAATTTGTGTCTTATTGTATTAACTTACAATGTTTCCCATTGAATGTAGCCTGATGCTAACATTTTAGTTGATTTGCAAGTATACAAAAATAAGAGAAGAGAAAGACAATTCTGTTTGCCCCATAATAACCCAACTAATGCATTTCAATTATAGTTGAAGGGGAAATGAAGGAGCCGGCTCAATCTAAATCAGACCTTGAGATTTCTGAAGTGCAAACCTCAACAGAAACAGATCAAATTGCATCTGATCAACAAATTACAATTGAATCAGAACCTACGATTGAATTGGAACACTCACCTGTATCTGACACTCAAACAGAAATAGAACCCGAGCCTGGTCAGTCAATTTATTAATAGTTCTTTTCTTAATTATACAAAATGAAAATGCTATCAAAAAACATGCAGTCCAAATACAAATGTCACATTTGCAAAACTTATCAGGTTTTTGGCACCAAAAAAAATGTACTTATCATTGATGTTTAAGTGGGGAGAGAATTTGATTGAAGTTCTGAAAAACTTATGGCAAATTGGATTCAAGTAAATTTTCTACCTTATACATAATTCAAACACAAATGGTCATATTTTAAAATAAAGGGCAATAAAAGAAAATTTGCAGGAAGTATTTTGTTAATGAAGGGTGGTGTTTTATATTAATTTATGTTTTATTTTATACCACAGCTTATATTCGTACTGGAAAAGCCAGATCCCAGACTGCAGAGATAGTAGGAACCGCAGATGCTGGAGAATCCGAGACAACAAGGTGCAGGGCTGGATGAACACAGCAGGCCAAGCAGC